ATTATCCCTAAATTTTTACCTTTAATATGACTTACATCCTTTTTTACTTTACCGTTTAATCCTGTCAAAATTTTATTATACGAGTAGTGTTTGTTTATACTCCACGGTTTTGTAATGAAGCAGCGCACTTAGTTGCATCTTAATTTTTTTAAGAAATGGTGGTTACCATGAATAGGAATGGTTTTATATGCTCTTGCTAAGTTTACAAACATTTCCATTCGTATCTAATAAAATTATTCTATCCTTTGAGAAAAAAGTTTATAATATAAGAAGATGACAAACTTACATTTCAAGTTATGGCACTAATTGATAAAATCGTGTTACAAAGTACACTATTAAAACCACAGTGTAGTTTAATAGTTACACTGAAAAACTTCTCATATCAAAGATGAAATAGCATTGTAAGTGGCCATCTATCGTAGTGGTGGAAATGAGTGATGCCGTTGTACTATAGCATGTGTTTGAACCCCATCGGCTCCCTAATCTAACATCTAAATCTAAAAAATCTATTATTTGACCCCAAAACATAAAAAAAAATAAAAAATAAAAAAATAAAAATAAAAAGATGAAATAGCAGTACCCTCATATTTGTCTCTAGTTTGGGCTTAAAATGTTTGTGTTTCATGGTAGGCTCAGCCCACTAGTCATAAGCAGCCCAAACTATTAACTGGACCAATCAAAGAACGGCCTATCAGATAAAATTAAACAAATTTTAATATGAAGAGGATTTTTCCGAATATTTATTTATAAACCAGAGCAGAGCTGTCTTGCTAGAAAAGAAAAGCAGAGAGCTCCCCAAACCCAACACATTGAAAGCGAAGAGAATGTCAGGCATGGAGAGGCTTCAGAGGATGTTCGCCGGCGCCGGAGGAGCTTTGGGCCACCCTCCTCCAGATTCCCCCACCCTAGATTCCTCCGAGCAGGTTTACATCTCCTCCCTTGCCCTCCTCAAGATGCTCAAGCACGGTGAAGCTCTCTCCTTCCTCTTTCCATCTTCCACTACTTTACGTCTTCTCAAATCAGCTTGAATTTCGAAACTCGAAATTGGGGTTTAGGGATTTGATGCTTTCTGGACATTGGATTTGGGATTTGTTTTTTGGATTTCAAAACCCAATATAGGCTAGTATGTCAGTAAATCATGTCTAAATTATTCATTTGGGATCGTAATTAGGGTTTCTGGAGTTCTTATATGTAGTTAAATTTTTTCTCTTACTCGTGCTTTGGGATTTGATAATTAATAGGAAGGGCGGGAGTCCCCATGGAAGTGATGGGATTGATGCTCGGTGAGTTTGTGGATGAGTACACTGTTCGAGTTGTCGATGTCTTTGCGATGCCGCAGAGTGGTACTGGTGTTAGTGTCGAAGCTGTTGACCATGTTTTCCAGACTAACATGCTTGATATGCTGAAGCAGACTGGAAGGTATCTACTCTTCCACTTTGAATAATGAAATTTAGGGTTGTTGAAAATGCTTTCCACAAGTACCGTTTTCCGAGTTTTAAGTGATAAGCATGTCATTGCTTCTTCTGGCTTGCACATATATTATATTCAGTCGTTTTCTCTTTTCTTTTCTGAAAACCACTAAGTTAATAAGAACTGTATGATTCGGTTGGAGAATTTTATTGTAGAAGGAGCTCGTGCATGGATTTCCAATGTAGCTCTGAGTTCTAAAATTTTCGTTTCCGTTTGTGAGAATCTTGATAATCGTGGATTTTCGTGAAGATGGGTGCAACGTGAAGTTTGTGTTAGATGATAAGTTAGAATAGCTTATTAGAACCTGCATTGTTAACTTGTATAATACTTATACAATGGTTACACTCTGTGTTCTGCTGCTTCTGCACCTTTCTTGTTATGAATGACTGTCTAGTTATGCTGATTCCCTATCATAATATATGTTCTACTGATTGGCAATGCAGACCAGAGATGGTGGTTGGGTGGTACCACTCGCATCCTGGATTTGGCTGTTGGCTATCTGGTGTGGACATTAATACACAGCAGGTTGGTTTGATTCATGCTTTATATTTCATTGAGCTCAGTTCATTTTTTTGTTGAGATAACACAAATTTCTAACCATGCATGGTTTGATTTTTTTTTTTTTTTTTTTTTTCAGTTATTAGTTTCTCTTAATGTTAGATGTTATATTTATTTGTGGACATCAATGCATGTTGATGTCTTTGTTATGAAGAAAGTAGTTGGGTTTTAAGCTCATTGGCATTGTTCTGTATTGGCTATTCACTTCTGTCTATTTGTTGTTAAAGTCTTCCTCTTTGGACCCCAAATATGAGGATTTCCTCTAGGCTTAAATTTCTCTAGGTCCAATTCTACATATTTATTTTTAGTTATCTTTGATGTGTTCAAATTCCTAATAGTTTACCTAGATCATATGTGTGTTCATGTACAACATGCTTTGCTCCTTTTTTTATCAACTAAGATTGAGTAATGGTATACCATTACCGGTGATGCCCTTGATTAGAAACTTGATTGTTGGTTGGTGTAGGAGGGCTGTGGTAAGTAATTGTTATGCTTTTTATTCTTGCAGAGCTTTGAAGCTTTGAATCAACGTGCTGTGGCTGTGGTGGTTGATCCCATCCAGAGTGTGAAGGGAAAGGTCGTCATAGATGCCTTCCGCCTCATTAACCCACAAACAATGATGCTCGGCCAAGAACCACGGCAGACAACTTCAAATCTTGGGCATCTTAATAAGCCATCCATTCAAGTAAGTCCTAAACAAGTAATTTTAATCTCCCTTCTTTGTGATCACCACTTTTTGACTTAATGCAATTTCCTCTTCAGGCATTGATCCATGGGTTGAACCGGCATTATTACTCTATAGCTATTAATTACAGAAAGAATGAGCTTGAGGAGAAAATGCTACTTAACCTCCACAAGAAGAAATGGACAGATGGGCTGACACTTAGGCGATTTGATAATCATTCGAAGACAAATGAGCAAACTGTTGAGGTAAGCAAGGTTTTGTGAACCTTAAGTGTGGGGCTATTGAATTTTTATGTTGAATTGGGTGTCTATCGCTCAAGTACATGTTAGTGATATTTACCCATGGAACCAAGTTAGTCTATTAGCATCGCATGCACTTTGCTTTCTCGACCAGTATGAGGTCATCCGTTGGTAATGGTTTCTATTGAAGGTGAGTAGTAGGTGGTGGATGATAAGGAAAGCAATTTAGGGCCACCGTATGCCTGATAATCTGCGGTAACAACTTTCATGTGGTAGAATGTTCATAGGAGTAGTTTATGCAAGTTTTAAACCATGAAATCTGGTTTTGTCTGCTAGGCTGGTCAAGATATTTCTTTGACTGTCCAAAAATCTAGGATTGTAGTTTAAGAAAAAACCAATAAAGACCTGTCTCAGTGTTGTGTGCCTGGTTAGGGGTCCATGTCCTCACGGAATAAAAACCACTAGGACCTGCCAGAATTAATTTTGGAAAGGCTTGAGGTTACCCTTTGTACTATAGGTCTATCCTCTCTTGCTAGAGGGACTGTTGGAATGTTTTGTTCAGGAAATTCAAAGTGTGAGCTGGTTTGGATTGATTATAGGTCGGCTAAAATTTAATCGCCCAAAGTCATGATGAACTTCTTTGTTTTTCTTTTGGCTTCTGCAGGAGATGAAGAACTTGGCTGTCAAATACAACAAAGCAGTTCAAGAGGAGGATGAGTTACCACCCGAGAAGCTTGCAATTGCCAATGTAGGAAGGCAGGATGCGAAGAAGCATCTCGAAGAACACGTCTCCAACCTGATGTCCTCCAACATCGTTCAGACCCTGGGAACAATGCTCGACACTGTCGTGTTCTAGAGAGTTGTGAGTGTGAAACGAGTCTTCACTGTTTCAGAAGGCATTGAATAGTTTTCATTGCTTTGAACAATTTGGAGAATTTTCTACTTTAAATTAAAACCGTTACCATGTTGGTTTAAATTTACTGATGGATTGTGTTCATAGTTAGTACATGAAAAGGGTAAATAATATATTTGCTTCTTACCTTCCTATTTAATTTTGTGAAAACACATCACCTCTTACATACTACATCAAAAAGCACCACTCCTATCTTGATGTCCCATTTCAATGAAGTAATAATATGTTTGAATTTCAACCCTCATGGTATTATGTTATTGGATCGGAATATCCGGTGACATTGAACTTATTTCATATAGGTCACTCTCCGTGAGCAATGCCATCCCAAAGAAACGTCTTTTAAACTGTCCACGTTACGCGCATCCTTTTGTCGGGAACAGGTTGTCCTCTATAAATAAAGCCAAGGTTTGATTTGATACATGTCCTTTTTGGCTGAGCACCTCCGATAGTCAAATCTATTTCGACAAGTCACGTGGGCAAAAATAGTTGATGTGGACAAAAATGACAAATATAAAAGTAAAGGTTAAAGATGAAAGAAAATAATGAAGTATAATTTTGCCTACTTAATTTGTTTCGACAATTGAGCATACAGCATGACACGTTAGTTTTTGTAGTACAGTTTTACTTATTTTGTTTGAACCAGGATCCTCTCATGAGCAGTTTCCTAGGGATCCTAGGGATCCCGCAATCTTGTCCGTTCATTTTATATCGTACGGTCAGTTTTCGTTAGATAATATTCATATTTGAATTTTAAAATTTAAATTTTAAATAATTTCTGACCGCACGATATACGATGAACGGACATGATTGCATGATCCCTAGGGAACTGCTCAGGAGAGGATCCTCTTCCATTTTGTTTGCCTACCCTATTAGAGATGCCTAAAGCTAAAGTTTGATTTAGTCTTAATTCAAGGATTACTCAATAACACAAGAAAATTTATAACTCAGCTGACAAGCATTCACCTTTATACTTAAAATTCTTTGTCTGATCTCCTCTTCCGATGAGATTCCATGTTCGTTTCTCCTCTTCCTATGAGATTCTGTGTTCGTTTCTTCCTTATCATTATGTTGCTCCCAACCCCATTAATAGATCACACTAGTACAATCCTTTTTTTTTTTTGAACGAGAAGTACAATCCTATTGCAAGTAGCTTTTATTTATTTCATTCCATCTATCAGAAATGGAACATCCAGATCTCTTCTATCAAATCCATCAAATTTATGAATGAAGGCCTTTGAAATTTTATTCAACGGTTAAAGTTATTATAACTTTTAAAGTGAATCACTATTTTTAACCGTTGGATCAAATTTTAAAAATCCAGATTAATTGATTAGATGAATTTGATGAAAAAGATCCGAAGACGATCCATTTCCGCACCTATGCGAATCACCTTGCAAATAAAACAAAGACAACTGCAACAACAACAACAATGAATGACAAACATTGACAAAGGAATCCCACTGTTGAAAATGGCCTTCACTTTGTCATTTTCCCACGTAACAAGATTTCCCACAAACTAAAACAAATGCTTCCAATCCATCCGAACTCCACTAATCTTGATTAATGAACTTACCCAAATCCCTAATCAAGATCTTAGCCTTGTCGCAATTGGGATTAAAGATATGAAAATCATGATCCTCCCCTTGTGTTTCAATCAACTCCTTCCTCCCTCCCCATTTGCTCTTCACCAATTCCTCATAGTAAAGCCTCCCTCTGTCCCTCAATATGTCTTTTTCTGCCACCATAACAAGCACTTTCCCACAAGCCAACCCCTCCAACCCCGGCGCTCCGTCCAGAAACGGGTTGATAAGCGGGTCATCGCCGCCTTTTTCCGACGGACAAACGAAATTCCACCACGTGTCCACCATTGACTTCCTCACCAAATCCCCCACCTCCCCGCCAATTGGCTCCTTCCCCCAAAAGTAAGGATTAACCATACCAATCCCGGCAATTTTCAACTTCGGATCCGGGTCGGAGTCCTTGATCCGTAAGGCCAAGTGGTGTGCAATGTTGGCTCCTGCGCTGTCTCCGACCAAAAACACGCGCCCGAAATCGACGTCATCCTTGACCCACGAATCACGATCTTCGCCGCAGTTAAAAACCCAGTTGAGGGCGGCCCAGCAGTCTTCATAGGCGGCGGGGAGCGGGTACTCAGGGGCTAATCTGTAATTTACTGAAACTGCGATGGCGTTGGCTTCTGCAACAAGGTTGTTGAGGCTGGTGTGGTAACACGGGTCGGCGGCTGAGGATATGCAGAAGGCGCCACCGTGGAGGTATACGACTAGGGGGAGTTTTGTGCCAGGTTTGGCGGTGATGGGTCGGTAGAGTCGGGCTGAGACGCCGGTTTGGGGTAAGATGACGATGTCTTTGGATAAAACTCCGGTTTCGGGGTCTAAGCCGGGAGGAGCGACTTGGGTTCCGGCGAGTCTGTCGATTGTGCCGTCTTTGAGGACCCGGAGGTATGGAAAGACCTCGAGTAACACTTCTGGTGAGGTGGTTGCAGCCATTTGTACGAAAGAGAATAAGGAGAAGAGGAGGAGGAGGAGGAAGAGAGAGGGAGGCTTTGGGCTTTGGAGTATGACCTGAAATATAGTGACAGGAGATTGTGAAGGATTTTATGTGATGACGTGCATTTTATCTTATGGAGGGAGGGAGATGGGATGAGTGTGAGGGAATGGAATTGTACATAAATATAGAATTTTAAGGGAAGAAGCTAGATTAGGGTAATTGAATAAGGCAGTATTATGTGCGGTTTAGTTCTTTTTTTTTCTTTTTTTTTCTCTCTTTTTTTAAGATTAGAATAGTTTAGTGATTTTTGACCAATAAAAGCGTTTATGACTAACTTGGTAGAAAATCTTCAATGCTTCTCCTTCTTGCCTTCTTGGTAGTAGAAATTTCAACTTAAAGCACTTCTAACGTAACTGCATAAGTGTTTATGATTAAGATAAGCGACTCTTATTATAAAATATAAAACATAAAACCTTACTGCAATAACCAATCTTTAAACTTCTTTTATTAAACAATTAATAGGGAACCACACTTTTAAGCCACATGATGTATTAATTATAACTAAGCCACACGATGTTCTACTTTTTTTTTTTTTTTTTTTTTTTTAACAAATGATATTATCTACATTAAAAGGGTGAAAAGTGAATCAAACCTTACATTGAGCTAGCCATAATAATGTGATTCGAATTCGCCTTTAACGAGATTTGAACTTAAGATCTCTCATTTACAAGTGAAGATGAATATCACAGTCACTAGACCATAGTACAAAATGACCACGATGTTCTATTTTAAAAGGTGAGAGAATTGGATTAAGCCCTACGATGTGCGAACTATGTCACAAGTTTAAGCCTTGTATTAAAAATGTTTACTCTTTAAGCTAAAGCGTGTATGTATGTAGACATTTTTGTGGGTACTAAAGCCATCTCCAATTGATCCGGCCAGAGGGTCATAGGACCGAAAATAGCCTGAAATGACACTAAAATAGCTCGTGGGCCCCACCTAACCAAAAAAGGAGAAAAGGGCTAACCGAATGGCCCAACCCAACCAACCTCGGGTCGGGCTAGGCGTTTGAAACCAACGGCTAGTTGCTAACGTCAGCTAACTGTTATATTTTATTTTATTTTTTTTTCAATTTTTTTTTTCAATTCTATTTTTTTTCCTATAACTTCCTAAGCCATTAAATAACATTAAGTAACATGAAACAACAGTAAACAATATTAAACAATATTAAATAACATTAAGTAACATTAAACATGATAAAAATTATACAACATAAAAAAAAACATTTAACAACATGAAATCCGAGACATGTGGCACTCAAAATCCGAGATGTAAAATTATTGAGATTCCTTATCGACAAGAAATCTGCAAAGTTACTCACACATCGACACGTGGCAATCGAAATCTGAGATGTAAAATTATTGAAATTCCAAATCGAAAATTTATTGGCAATCTATCGTAAAATTATTGAGGTAGTTTAATTTAAGTAACCATATTAATTCAATTAAAATAATAAATTATGTTTGGCCCTATGACCCTTTGGCCTCCTCGGTTGAAGATGATTTTTTGTCACATGGCTATGTTTGGCATTTGGCCATTTGGCCCCTCGGTTGGAGATGGTAAGAAAAATAACCTGACACTGTTGATTAAAATATTAACTTCTTGAAAGGCTATAAGGCCAAAGAGAGCTCTCTGGCCCTCTTTCGGTTGGAGATAACCTAACTTACTAGCAATTTGTATTAATCAAACACAAAGAAATACGTTTCTGTGTGAAAAAGAATTATAAAATTAAAAACAAAATATTAATAAAAAAAGAATTACAAACAAAGTTCCAGCCAATTCCATTAGGAACAATTATGATATACGAAGCAGCCAGCTTAACCAAAAATACACGAAGCAACCACCAAGAACATTCTTGATTGGACATCAATTAGTTTTCTAAAAGTGGTCAAATTTCGAAATTAAATAAACAAAAGAAAAAGTTAAATAATCAAAGACGTGTTTCTTTCCGGAACATGAAAATGTGACAAAGCAAGGTCTAATAATTTGATTTGCAGCCTTAAAGATTTCAGCTACTTTTTTTTATAAAATCTATTATTATTAAAGAAAGCGTAAAGAATTATAAATTTTTACAATAATTTAAATAAAAGGAAGTTACGAACTCAAGACATGGATAAAAATTAAAAATACAAACACAAGATTTCAGCTACCTGCGTTGAAAAAAAAAAGCTTGAAAATGTGTGTTTGCGTGGGCAATGGGGATATGAAAAATGTCCAACAATTTTGACTTTTCACACTTTGAAATTTGAAGATTGTTGCAATAACATTACTTTTCTCCTCACTTTGCCATCGTACACTTAAAATCAACATATCAACATATCTTTAATTAATCTTATATTGATGTTCTTTCTAGCCAAGGGTTTGTCGGGAAGTGATTCTGGAAGGGATAAAACATTTTATAACAAATTAGTAACATTAAAAAAGTTTGTGAATCGCAAAACCAACCTTGATACTATAAATAGTGGAACAACAAATTTACGTCGTATTTTATTTTGTGTTTCTTATGTTGGATTTTTAAATGCTTCAACAAACTAAACTCGGAGTCGAAGCACGGAAAGTTGCACGAACGAGCTGAACCCTAAAGGAGCCATCTAGCAAAATAAATATGGATGGACTAAAGCAGTCTTGCTCAACCCACTGCTCACCCCAAAGTCGTTAATATTTTGGCTCATCATGCGTAAGTGGTGGTGAGCATCACCACTGTACCAATTTCGTTTTGATGAGTTTAAATTTCGAAAAACATTATCTAACTGCAACCAATGCGATCGTAAGAAAAAATATGCACCATCACAAATTCAGGTATCCAGCCCAATCTTATAGGCTGAAGCCCAACATAAAAGCCCAAAAGTAATTTCCACCTGGGAATCTAACTGTTGTTGTCCAAAGGTGTCAACAAATCCACTTGCCGTTCTGCAACCCCGTCTCTCCTTTCCCAGTTTTCCCTGCCTTTGATTTTCTGGTAAACTTCCGTAATAATGGAGAAGATGATAGCTTTGAGATCGCTGTACCGCTCAGTCTCTTGCAGATCTTATCGAATAGCCGCCGCTAACCAGCAGCTACTACGCCACTCTCAGCCTCTCCACTCTTCCGCCGCTGCTGCGCGAACCCTCTTAAATTCCTCATCCCCCGTCGCCAAGGGCCTCTCTTCCGGTACCTCCCCCTTCTTTATTCGACTTCAATTTCTTGTTTCAATGAATTTTTTTTTTATAGATATGAAGCAAAATTGAAATGGGTTATTGTTGCAATCTGATGTTCTGCATAAAAACTGCGTATTTGAGCTTCGTGTGTTGCAAAATGATTTGGGTTTTGTAAATTTTTTTATTTTCTGCTGAAATTCCATGTGGGTATGTTGCAAATCCTCAGATGATTACAAGTCCCCGTTTTCAAGGGGGTTGGGAAGTAGGAAATTTTATAGTGATGATGTGAGTCACTTGCCTGCCATTAAAGACCCTGCGCTGCTCAATGTTTTCAAGGATTTGCTGGCTGCAAGTTGGGATGAATTGCCCAATAGTGTCGTCCATGAAGCGAAGGCGGCATTGTCTCAGAATACTGATGACCAGACTGGCAAAGAGGTTGTCACAAATGTTTTCCGGGCAGCGGAGGCTGTTGAGGAGTTCGGCGGGATGATTACTAATTTGAAGATGGAACTTGATGACAGTGTTGGTATGAGCGGAGAGGTATTATAATCATTAGGGACTTTGTGGTTTCACTGTTGTCTGTCTATGCAATTCTTTTGATTTTTGTGTTTTCGTATTGTCTGTAGAATGTCAAGCCCTTGTCAGATGAGTATGTGAATGCACTGAAGACCATTTACAGTCGCTACATTACCTATTTGGATGCATTCGGGCCTGAGGAGACCTATTTGAGGAAGAAGGTTGAGACAGAGTTGGGAACTAAGCTGATATACTTGAAGATGAGATGCAGTGGCATCGGTTCTGAGTGGGGAAAGGTATTAATATAAAGATGATTAAGGTCATAGCTAGATAAGATTTTCGGTCAATAACATTTATAATTCATGATATTACCTTTTGAGAAAGCCATATCAAATCATAGGTGCAGTCATTTGGTACTTTTCTTATCCGTATGAGCAGCATTGAAGCAAAATTATCTTACTCATTTAGCTCACTTAGGAGAATAGAAGATCAAAATTGACGTGTTTGAGGATATATATTTTAAGTCTGGTAATGATACTCCGCCCGAGAGGTCGCACTTGGTGCGATGGCAAGTGCCTTCGCCCATGAGCGGTAGGTCTCGGGTTCGAGACTTGGGAGCAGCCTCCCCATAAATGGGGGTAAGGCTAGCCGACATTCACCTCTCCCAGACCCTGCGTTAAGCGGGAGCCTTGTGCACTGGGTACGACCTTTTTAATGATACTCCGCCCCTTATTTTCTCCTTCTCTTCCCGTGGGAACTGGAAAGGGGTCTTTCAGTATAAACAATGCTTTGGCATCAAGCTTTTCATTTCGGCATTTGTGGTACCTGGTTTCTTATTATCCCGCAGTGTAGGGACTCCTATTTGGAACATTCGCAAGCGTGCAAATCAATGCGAATCTATTTGTAGACTTGCTCATTTGATTTTGTATTCTGATTGCAGATCTCTGTTCTGGGAACGTCTGGACTTTCCGGGTCATATATTGAGCAAAGAGCTTAACCCCAGAATTTCAGAGAATGTTACCGTAATTGGAAGCTTTTCGGTTTTTGGAATCGTGTTTGTTGGATATTTGGAAACAGGCCAGATGTTCAGATTCTGATGACAGTTAATAAGAGAATTTCGTTCTTGATCTTTTGTTCTTTCGTTGTGATAGAGTATAACGTTGTAGGTTTGTTTCGTCAAGTAATTTCAGTGTGATTTGTTTCATCTGCTTCTGTTGAGTTGATAATATTGATGATGGAACAATTGTCAACAATATGCAACGATAATACGTCTTTACATTTTATTGGAAATCATGGTGTCACATTATTAATGACATATTGACGGTCCATTTTTTTACACATTCGTTTTGTAGACACGGACTAAACAAAAGAACGTTCAATTTATTTGGTTAAATGGGGAACTGCAATAGTACTCTAAAATGTTAACGTGTACTCAATGGACATCGTTATGTATCGGACTGGACACGTCGTGAAAGTAAATATCAGGTCTAATCACAAATTAGTTCGAGCTGGTTTTGGATATGGGAATCCACGATGGCCGAAATAAACTACCCGAATTCGAGCTACATCTCCGATCAAATGTATTGAATTAGTCGTCCTAGATTTTCTCCCACTGCAAGACTATATACACATTTGAATGGTGAACGATGCACGAGTTGAAAATAAAGGATTTATGATAAATTTAAAATTCTCTATAATCTCATAGTTCTTCGTAACAACTTCAATTTAGAATTCATCTCTGATCAAATTTATTGAATTAGTCGTCCTAGATTTTATTACTTGCTACTGTGATAATCTCATACGGCGTTAATCTCTTTATGTGTGTTACAAGTGTAACACAAACCGCCTCCAGTCTAATTGTCGCCTTTCTCCACATAGTTCTGTGGCAACTTAAGTTCTACCACATGTTTTCGAGCAATCATAACCTCGTGATTGTTGTCCCTCGATCCTTCTCTCTTTTCACCGGAACTATTTTGTTTGTCCGATGGCCAACTCTTCTACCTCTGCTTCTGTCGCCCGGTCTGTTCTTCCCAACGTCTCTCACGTCATCACCATCAAACTCGATTCCAGTAATTACCCTATTTGGTTGTCCCAAATTGTTCCTTTGCTTAAAAGTCATAACCTCATGTGTTTTGTGGATGGTTCTTCTCCCTGTCCTCCTCAGTTTCTCTCCGACGATGCTGGAAACCAAAACCGACACTGTCAACCGTGATTTTAAAGATTGTGTTGAAGAGGACCAGCTTGTTCTCTCCTGTATCAATGCCTCCATAAGCCATTATGCGCTTGGTGACACCGCTCACCGGTACCATACTGCTCGCGAAACTTGGCAAGCTTTGGAGAAACGATTTGCCTCTTCGCATCAGAAATATATCTCAGAGCTCCGTAGTCGTCTTCATCGCACTACTCGCGGTTTCTCATCGATTACTGAATTTCTTCAACGCGTCGACACTATTACGATTTACGCATGAGCTAACGTTAGCTGGTTCTCCTGTTCCTGAGACCGAGATCATTGAAGTCGTCATCAACAATGTCGGCTCTCGTTTTGACAATGTCACTTCTAAGGTTCGTGGAAAACCCATTACTTACGATGGATTAAAGGCTCTCCTCCTCAAATCTGAACGTCGTAATGATGACGTTGACGCATGCTTTTGCAAGGGGGTTCTCGCGGTGACATTATTGCTAATGCTGTTTTCCATGTTGTTTGCCGTGACTTGAGCGATAAAAAGAAGCACAAAGGTCGAAGCTAAAAGGATTCGTCTACTCGATCGTCGTCTCCAAGCGTTCTGTGCTCGAACGCCCCGCTCGAACGGTTTAGTTCTAGTTTCTTGTGTAGGGGTGTTCGTCTTGTGCTCCGGGTTTGGCTTCTGGGGTTCTTTAGATTTCAGTATGGCTTGTACTTTTTAATTGTTTTTGTTTTTTCTCTCTTAAACAGTTGTTTCTCACAAATAAACTTTATTCTAGATGTCTATTTTAGCCAAAATGGTCCATGAGATTTGTATAACAGAAATGGTAAGTAACTTTATTCTAGATGTCTATTTTAGCCAAAATGTTACAAGAAATTAGACAAATTTAAGACCCTCAAAACATCCGATTATAGAGAAGAAACAGAAATGGTAAGTAACTGGTATAAGAAACATTAAAATGTCCAAACACACTCCATTAAACGTCGACGTATGTATTCAATGCCAGTTTTTTGCCTTTTTTTTTTTTTTTTTTTTTGTAATTTCATGGGTTTCCTTATTTAAGTGTCCAATAATATTCATTTATTTGTTTACATTTTGTATCAACCATTTATGGTAAGCAACTTGTATAAGAAAATTTTAAGTACGAAATTTTTGGTACACATGTATTTTGCATAATTTCTTTTGTGTTACCAAATTTTTAAGTATAGACGTTTCGTTACACTAAATCATTATAATATGTCAAAGTAAGAACATTTAAGTATACTAATTCGTTATAACACATTTAAATACTAACATTTTGGTCCATTTATGCATTTGCATATATGATAGCTTTACTTATCACAAAGTATAACATTACCATTATAACTAAAACTTTTTTGTAATTGCATTGTATTCCATCCATTTAATCATCTAAACACGAAATAACTTTGAATAACTTGAACTTTGAACCTCCTTTGTTGGTGGTGGGGGTGGAGGAGCTCCGACTTTAAACCATCTTAACAAACTTAGTGCCTTTTTTCCACAACCACGACTCAGAGGGCGACTTTGGCAGCGGTGGAAGCAACACAGCCTTCCGGCAAAGCCCAAACGGCCAGCCTTCACAATGACGGAACTGCTGAATTATGGACTGCTTTGGAAAATCTATAAACTCGATCCCATTAAGGCTCGAACAGCGCGACAAGCTTGTCTTGACAGAAAGAAACACGTCTCTACTTGCAGCGTCGCTTGAGCAGCAAGAAAGGCAGCTTGCAACCGATAAAAAATCTGCTTTCTCATCGTCTTCATGATCCTCCTGCTTTTCCACTCCTTTCTGTGTTATGAATAAATCACCCGATTTAGAAGAGTAGACAAAAGAAAAGCTATCTGAGAAGCTGCGCGGCTTGCGCCTCAGCTTTTCCATAGCACGGCTTCGAATCGCAGACACAATAACCTGATAGAGAAAAAGCAAGTAACTAAAAATGATAAAACAACCTGTAAAACACTCGTACATTAATAAAAACATGAAAACCTTATAAGGAAAATCTTTGTTCGGGTACATAGCTTACTTCCTGTTCCTCATCAAAGTCGCTTGTCAAGCACTCCTCCGCACGGCTCGAAACCGAAAGCTTTCTGCCGGTATGGCAATTCGCAAACGCATCGGTGAGACAAGCAGCAAGAAATTTGCATCTTTTGGAAGGATTTGGTGATTGTTCATCTTCGTGATAAAAGATGCTCATGTTGGAGTGAAAAAAAAAGGTGCTTTGGGTTTGTAAGCTGTAAGCCAGAGGTGCTTTGAGATACCTACAAAACTAGTGCTTTTGGTGTGTGTCATTCTTACTCGACATGATGTTCGGATTAGACATTCACCTGCTTTTTTTGACAGCGGCTTCTCAGCTTATTGGAAAAATGGAGAAGATTGGTTTCTATTCTTTGGGTTAAAGACAAAGCTAAAAAAGCATATTAGACGTTTTAACAAAAGCTAAAACTCCTCCCTTTGAGGTTGAAAACGCTTTTGCTTATCTCACAGCCATTAATATTAAGGAAAACTAATGAAAATAGCTTGAAAACTTTAAGTTTTAACGATAAGGACAAAATAAATGGTAAAATAAATAGTACCAGGATTGACTTTTTAGTGTAAAAATATGGTTTTTCGTTAAAATGAACAGTACCGGAAGCTTTTCGTTAAAGTTCCCTTAATATTATTCCCATTGAAGAAGACCTGTAACTTCAATCCGTTTCTTCAGTTTTTTTTTTCTTTATTTAGTGCTGCTTCTGTAGTCTTCATTTTTCATGCTTTAAGTTGAAGTCATGGGAATTAGGACATGATACCAAACCTAATCTTGACATATTTGTTTTTTTTTTTAACAAGACAGGATTCTAAATTACTTTAAGTTACAAGAAGAGCAACTCGAACTTGAGTGCTAAAAGCAAACACATTAGGCTAACTGGCCAAACCCACGCTTACGAAGCTATTTGTTGAATTTTCCTAAAGTGAGAGTGCCCTCAAAATGTTATCTCAACTGAAGAAAATCTTGACACAGGTTAACACATAAATTTGGCATCTTTCCCCAATTTCATTTTCATTGAAAGACAATGGAAACTAGTTGAAATTAATGTGGTGTCCCAACAGAAACTAATTAGAAATTTCATGGCCGTTCAATTCTAGTAAACATCATAACAAAGAAAGATCATGAGTCTGAGATATCTTGAGCAATATCTTTGATTTTATTTTCTCTAGTCTCCCTTGACACTCGGTTCAATTCTCTAATAACTAGATCACGTATGCCAGTGGGACGGGTCCCAAACCAATAATGAGTTGCCAAAGTAGAAAAAAAAAGGAGGCAAATTGTTTGCTTTTTTGTTTGGGTACCCTTCCCATCCTCTCTTATTTTGTGCGGTCACGATTAAATAACGTCAATATTTTATATTAATTTTTTTTACAAAGATAATAAGACAAAAAATAATAACAATATAAAATATTGACGTGACTTAACTGTGACTGCACAAATAAAAAAGAATGGGAAGGGCACCCAAACAGGAAGGTAGACAATCCGCCTCCGAAAAAATAAAGCACATAACAATGCATGACACTTGCCCTCGATACTATTAGGTTAAAAGTATTAGGCAAGTCCTTCATGACGACTAAACACATAGTTGCATATAATTGGTGATGGGTCAGATTTACTCGATAACGACACCAATCATATCTAAATTAATAAAAAAAAAAAACCAAAATTTAGAAAAGAACAGATGATATTCTCTAATAATGATTAACCATGGTTAAATACATCATTCATATCTCAACTGATCAAACAATCAACCAAGTTTAGACCTTTAGGCAAGAACAAAGGAAAATCCTCTACCTATACAACCATACACGTACTCAAACCTTATCTTTATCTGTAGAGCTTTAAAGCATCATCTCCATCACCAATCACCCTCGTGAAATCTGCTCCGGACACTAATGTCTACATCTCCCCTGTTCCCCAATTGATTGATCATTAAATAGCTCCACATTATTGTTGCCGACCTCCAAATCCGCATGAAAAAAGCATGGAAACTTGGAATCAAACATCCCAAATTTTGATGTCATAATAAAGTCCGCTGCACTCGAGATCCTGAGTTCGATTCCTCCTTCCCCACCATCGCTTGCATTAATTATAAAGGACAAGATAAACTCAGCTGGTGGACTTATGGAGCTGCCGAGATGTGAGAGAGATCAAAGAGTGGAGCTTGGTCACCGCAGAGGTCTGATCAGGCGGGCACATAGAGAGAGAAGTGTTCAGAGAGAGAAGGGCCTCGTCGAGTTTCCCAGCTGCCAAGGCTGCGCAGCCTGCCTTGTAGGCTTGGTCCGCCATTCGTGCATTGTATTCCGGTTGATCAGGGATCTCGGTTTTCGCCGTCGAAGACAAAGAAGACGGAGAGTCGACAAGAGCGGTGGCGCGTGCGTACTCGAGATTGCAGATTGCTGTGTTGATCTCCGCCATTAGAGCTTCCGGCATTGCTTTGATGGTCTTCAGCTTCACGCCGTCGAACACGCTCCGCCACTGGGAGCTTTTTTCTGCAGAACCCATCTCCTGTTTCCGATTTATGAGAAACCCAACTGGGAATTTTAGTTTAAAATACCCAAAAACACAATCTTTGATGAAAATCAAATTTCTTTCATCAGAGGAAGAACGGTGCCCTAATTTATTTATTTTTTGTGAAATTACCATAAAGGAGGAAAAGATCGAACCTGGGAATAGAGAATTAGGGTTTCAACCTTATCGGATCGATTGGAAAATCAACAACTGATCGGTTCGCTGAGAATCGTAGACCCAATTTTGATTTTGTTTCTTCAAGACGTGATTTTTATTTTTATTTTTTTGTTATTGAGAAAATAAAATAAAATAACAGAGTAATGGGTTCCTGATGCAACCAAACTCATGCAAGGGCCCATACAAGTGTTGCGATTTAAGTTATGTAATTTGTTAATCGTAACATTTAAAGAATAAGGACTCATTTCCGTCAAATTTTTGGATTAAAAAGATAAAAACAGCGCAAATGTTTATCACTTGCGAATTCCGTGTATCAAAAACAAAAAATTGCAAATTCTATGAAAAAATCACGAAATTAGGACGTCTTTATATTGATACAAGGAGTAAACTACAAAACTTAAATCGCGACGACTAAAACTATAGAGAAAATAATCATAGTTAGGCCTTTCTCTAATCTCTGTTTCAATCATCCAACTTGTCACATTTTCTATGAAATTTCAACTTGAAACACACAAGGCTCCCGTCATTTTAAGCTGTTGAAACTAAAATCTTGAAACGAAAGACTTCGTCCCCCGTTCAATGGTTATCAACAATCGTAACAAAATCATCTGAATTGATCAACATCCGAACTTTCAAAGAACAAGACCCGCAGGGGATGACAAGCGATGCTGGCAATGCGTTTTGTGCCTCGAAAGATATTTTCCTTCCATCTCTTAACAAAGCATATCCCATCTTCTCCAACTCCAAAGAATCAACGAAGAAATAGTCACCACACCGGCACTGGTAAAAGAGCTGAATGGCCTCTCCCGCATCTTCAGCCATCACATCTTTTAAGCTGATATCTTCTGCAACCATAGCATCAAGACTAGAAGCTCGCAGTGCGCTATCATAAAGTGCGCGAGACCTTGAATCGCCAAGGATTTCCCAAGCCTTTTGCACCTTCAGGAATCTATCTCCCGATCCAGAGGTACTTTGTGATTTATCAGGATGACTATCAAGGATGGCAGATCGATAGCTTGCTCGGATATCTTCATAGCTTGCATCTTGTTTCACGGAAAGTATTTCATAGTGAGTTTCCTGAATGGAATTGTTGCAAAGAAACATACTCGTAGCTACTTGCTATCGATTAGCTTCACTGCATATGAAACGAAAAAAATTCTGTAATTTCTGTAATTTCAAATTGCAAACACCCCTATGCGCCATAAAGTTAAGGTTTTCGATATGTTCTAAAAAAAAAGTGGGACTAAACACATAAGACATCTGGATCGAGCATTCAAGCTTCTATCGCTAATAAGATTGCTATTGCAAACAAGGAAATTAACATCAAGCACAAAAATACAACGGCATTCAAGTACTGTACTAATTATCTTTGCAGCTCAGCAAACCCTAACCCTGTACTAATTATCTCTGCAGCTCAGTAAACCCTAACCCTTGTCCATCGTTCACGATGCCCACCCGAATGCAGTCCCTCTTTTGGGTTCCTCTGGTCAAGCACATAAACCAAAACATATAAAAAAAGGTTTAAGCTTGACTCATTCATTTTCTAATAAAATCTGTGACAGGTAACAGCAAGAACTTGAACCCATTTGGGAATCGAAAACCCGAATTGAAATTCAACTAAACCAGACAGGTACATAATATGCAGATTCAAGTGCAGAAAACAAACTAAATTTTCAATTTCAAAGAACCACAGCTTGAAATCAGAGATAAAATTAAAGCTACAGAACGCCCAAATGCGAATTAAACCAATTTAGCAACAACCCACTGACAGAAATTTCAGAATTCATAACAAGAACAATGATTTTAAAGTGTAAAAGAAAAAACTTGAGAATTAAATCCAGTTGGATTGTTGGTTTTTCTGAACCAAGTAACGATCGGATTATGCATAAATTCAACCAAAATACGAAGACCAAAGAGAAACGTAAAAATTAAGTTACCTTCGTAGGCCGAGCTAGCTCCAATCTCTCGCGCGATGACATCAATAATGGCGGGCGGCGAAAAGCGCGGCTTGGAATCGCTTAAACTTTCAGAGTTTGTGGCGGCGATGAGCGGCAGCGGCTCTCAAAGTTTGGTGTATGCCTCCACACCACTCCATTAGTTTCGGAATCTAATTAAATTAAATTTGGTGTATGCCTTGTTTTAGTCAATTAAATTTCACTTTCGGCATGTGGGGATTGTTTCTTGAACTGGTAAAAATGTTTATGATTGCTTTTTTTTTTTCTTCATTTTTTTTTTAAACAAACGATATTATATGTATTAAAGGGAGGGAGGATGGTGGGTTTAACCTCACAATGAGCTAGCAATAATGTGGTTCAAATTTACCTTTGGCGAGAATTGAACCTAAAACCTCTCACTTACAAGTGAAGATGAATAACATTAGATTGTACTACTAAATGACCATTTTATTATTATTAAGGGAAGAGAGGGCAGGGTTCGAAATTATGACAATAATTTAGGGATGGAATGAGTTTTGAACTCGGGACGCATGGGTGGAAAACCAACATTTTATTCAGTAGGATATTAGACCATATGTCATAATTTCGGGATGGAATGAGTTTTGAACTCGGGACGCATGGGTGGAAAACCAACATTTTATTCAGTAGGATATTAGACCATATGCATTTATGATTGGGTTTAATCAAAAAAATTATGGCTAGTTTAGAACATGGACCAAAATATCGATAATAGCGGCAAAATTATTGTTTTTTTTTAGATGACGATATTTCGTGACTTATCCCCTTAATTATTGTTAATATATCGCGAGATGAAACCCAAAACTACTTGAAAATTTCTGAAAAAACTCAATCTTGTGCATAGAGGGATTCGAACCCCTCACATTTGACTCCTTCAACGCCTTGACCACCATATCACTTATGTTTTTGTGAAAATATGATAAAATATTTATGTATATCGTTTTGTTTTGAATTCTTTTTGCAAGAAACAAATTTGCACATATTCCAAATTTTTTGTGGTATTATATTTTAAATTGTGTCAATTAATTACTTAGTCATTGGCATGTGGTTTTTAATTTTTCTATTTTTTATTTGGTCACTTACATGGTAGAGCTGGAAAAAATTCCTGAAAATTCCAAACCAAACCGAAAAAGTCCCAAACCCAAACCGAAAATCCCAAACCAAAACCATCCCGAAGTTCGGGAATCCCATCCCGAAAAATACCGAAATTTTCGATATGAGATTGGTTTCCAAATCTCATTTGTTTGGTAATCCCGAAATCCCGGAAAATACCGAAGTATTCGGTTTCCTATTGACTTTTGGGTTTTGGTTCTTGAAAGCTATTGCCATGGTTGCTGACTCTTCACAATACACTTACTCTACACATAGAGACGATGAAGATAGTGAAAATTTTGAACCTCATAGGAACTCTATATGGTACTAAGTCACTCATGTATCTTACCATGCAATGTATAAAGTGTAAATATTGTACTAATTCATTATATATAAATGATTATGGTGTGTTTAAACTTCTTTAATTAATTACTACTTGTTTTCTACACTCACAATGTTTGCCAGCTCGCTATATAATCAACTTAAATCAGTTAAATCCATCATGCAATGCATTTCCTTCCAATTTTTTGTGATAAACTAATAGATAATTGACTAAATAAACATCATGCAAAGTTTCAATAAAAATTTCCAAGTTTTTCTTACAATTTCTGTGGTTTTTATTCAATTTTTATCGATATCGATAATATCCCGATATTTCCATCGAAATTTCCATGTTTTTGGACTACTGATATTTCTGATATCATCGATATTTTAGACCATGGTTTAGATCTGCTTCCCAAATGACTAAAATTGTTTTTAGTTCACCAAAAGCATGCATTTTCAAACAAGTATCAGTTATGTGTTTCTTGAAAAAATAACTTCGAATGTTTTTCAAGATTCATTTGTATTTCACTAAAGATTAGTTTTAAAACTATTCATTAAAAACGTTTTCAGTCATTTTAAAAAACACTTCCTAAAAATGCTTGTAGTTTATAAAAACACTTTCAAAGTACATGCCAAATTATTCTTTCACGAAGCACTACCAAATACTTGATAAAACCACTGCTAACATATACACTTATTAGCAAAAGTATTTGTTTAGTAGGGAGGCAGATTGTCTGCCCTCCTGTTATGGTGCCCTTCCAATCCCCTCATATTTGTGTGGTCACAGGTAAGTCACGTCAACATTTTATATTCCTATTGCTTTTTATTTTATTATCTCTATAAAAAAAATTAATATAAAATATTAACGTAGCTTAATCATGACCGCACAAATAGAAGAGGATAGAAAGGACACCATAACAGGAGAGGACAATCTGCCTCCGGTGCTATCGTCCCCATTTACTCAAACTATCCTCACTATTTATCCACCCACCGTCACTCCAAAACACCCAATTGTCCACCCTGAAAAAACCATGCCAACTCTTCTAGGTTTTTTTGTTTCACATTTCCCTCTCTAACTTTTGTGCTCTAATTAATTAATAACTTTTGGTCTCTAATTAATTAATAACTTTTGGTCAGCCTCCCTCGTACCGTCGAGGTTCTCTCAAAAGATAAGGCACCATCGAGGTTCTCTCAATTTGGAACTGTACTTTATCCTTTATACAATTGATGAGCATTAGAAAAACATAAATGTTGAATGCTTACATCTCTCTTCTCAAAGGTACAAGCTAAAGATACCTGAGCAACAAGAAACTGAAAATTTCGTACTCGTCTCCTTTTAAAGATAGAGAGCATTATGTATTTATCCAAAGAATTAGAGAGTAATACGCAACGTTCAGAGACAGAAATTCATATTCCCCATTCCTTAACGACGGGGAGAGTTTCAACGTCTAACACCATAGCTCACTATGCCTCCGACCAGGACTTCTTTATCTTGAATCATCGGCGCCAAACACCATGAACAATCCGTATTACAAAAAATGACTTTGTGAACAAACAACAAGCGTGGAGCGCACGCTGAACCTTCAGTCACTCCATCCCCCTCTCTTCGAAAACTCTTCCTATTTTCCTCTATTTTTCACAGAACAATTTAACAGAACAAAAATATATAAACCTAAGGAGACCATGATTACATATTCCAGTGAAGGTACCTTCGTGTGTTTTGTGATGTATCCAGAACACGGTAAGCCTTTGCAGGTCAAGTTACAATGACAAGGGTTTGTCCTTTTCTGCTGGGAGTGGCGAAATCCTATCGTGCGCCAACAATGCCAGAGGCCCAAGGAACAACGAGTGGTGCAGATGGATGGCGGTTTCTATATGATTCAGGATACTTGTCCTTGAAATTAAGTTTAGGCGTTTCTGCCTGCATTTTGATGATTGAAAACAAGAAATATTAGGGTCAACTGGATCAACATAATCACGAATATATATAAATTATAACGAAACAGTTGTTTAGTTCTTACGTATTTAAGCCAGCACTCTCCAAGTTTATGCTCATAGATATCTGGAGAATGGCAACCAGTTTCCGACGGGCAATAAACCCATATATTACATCTCTTTTCATTAGGCTTAGCACGTTTAGCTTGATCCAAGCAAGCCTGACAGCAGTCAGCTGCACTATCTTTGTGGTGGGTAAGCCCCCATCTTACAGCAGCACCATCATAATCTGTATGAACTTCTGCATGGCATTCAGGAGGAAGCGGCCTGCCAGGCAAAATTTGATCGTCTACAGAAAAACAAAGGAATACATACATCAACACATGGAATAAGTTTCTACTATCTAAATGAGTAAACTTCTCAAAACTACCAAACAAGGATCGTGACGTTTTCTTTTTATTTTGTAAAGGAAAATAAAAGATGATTTTTTTTAATGATAGAGAGAAGGGCATGGAGCCGAAATTGATGAATTACCTAACTCCTCTTCTTCACCCTCAGGTTTATCATGATGTTCCGTGTTACGAATTTCAGGAGGAATCCAAAGGCCCAAATCTTCCAACAGCCAAGTGGAATCAGATTCCAAAGCTTTTACTAGCATTTCTGTAGAAAACAAAATCAGAACAGTAAACACCAGAGTTTGTCAAAACAATTATACTACCATTCATAGACTGCTGCATCATATAAGCTATTGAATCCTAAAAAGAAACCACACGTAGTTCACAAATAATGACCATACCTGCTTCCTCATGAAGGACTGTTGAATTTGAAGCCTTGGTCTCAACTGCCAACTGCTTAGCTTCTTTTAGTTTTCCTTGCACCATCTTTCAACTACTTCTGTTTATTTAAGCAACCACCATCAACATGATAACTTAATTACTACAAGTAATGCGAGAATAATAAACTGAATTATATAACACATATTTGTATCCTTTAGCTCATCACACTAATCATGGTTGGTCAGTTGAATTATTAGCAGCTGATAAGTGTTTGTAAAGAACTTAGTGTAGCCATGGGAATTTAAACAAATTCAAATTTATAGATTCAAATGGGTCAAATTGATTAATGGGAACAACACTTTACAAAGGTTGGTGGTTTACATGCAATTGAATTCTGGTATGAGCTGGGGTAACCTTTTGGCATCTTTTCATCGTTAAGCGAATATGTTGTAAACTTGTAATGTACGAGTGAAAGAAGCACTCAAACCTTGAACAAGGTGAAAGTTACACTTAACTGGAACATATCTAGGTACTAAGACACACAAGGTACTCACATATATAAACTATGGCCACTCTTACAAAAAAGACAATCAGTATTGACCCCACTTAAGTCACATGATAAATTGAGAATTCCATAGTTAACAGAAACAACAATTATGCAGGACAAAAAAAATAAAAAATAAACAACAATTATCCAGGTCATCATGCACCACCTACCCAAAGAGAGAAAAATGGCACGGAAAACAGAAAAAGCTACGTTACACTATAAGTTTTTGCTCTATTATGTCACAATTTTTTGAGTGGTTACAGAAATACAGAGAAATGCCTAAAGCAATCCCTTCCTTACAAAGATCTGGTTTGTCATAAAATCAAGAGAAAATTTACATGCTTCCAGAATACCAGGAAGCAATTTGTTCCTCGAGACAAAACAGACAATGAATCTTCTATATCCTTTCACGTGAAACCCACCTAAACTTCCCTTTAACCCGTGTTCTCGCCTTCACTCCTAAATATGCTA